CAGCAGAGAAAGACAAAACAGGAAGAAAACTTCTGACCAACTACAAAAAAAACAGTACTTTAGTGAAAATGACTGCAGACACATGGGTCACCAGAGTCTCTCTAGAGATTTCTAGAGTAACAGAGTCAGATTCAGGCCTTTATTTCTGTGGAACAAAGTCTGACGCTCCAGAGATGTTCTTCGACAAACCCATCAGACTAGAGATCGAGGGTAACAGATTTCAGTTTTTCCATCACATCTTAACAAACTTGTCATTGTAGGGGGACCTTACAGAGCAATAGTTTCTGATTTAATCCATTAAACTAGTTTTGTTGGCATAAATGCATATATTTAGGTTGATATATATTGAACAAATATTTCACATCCCTTTCAGAGTAAATTTTCAGACCACAAACATACACCTAACAAACCTTTCTTGATCTGAAAAACAAATTCTAAAGGTCCTGAAATGCCATTATCAATTTTATTGCATAAAGGACAACTTAAAAAATACTAAAGCTCATTTTAACCCAGGCTTCAATATTCAACTAACAACAGTTTTGTGTGTAAACTGATCATATATTTACAGGTCTTATTGTAGTACAAGAGACAAAAGAAGTTGACATCAAAGGTAAATGATTGTTATCTTAGTTGTTTAATTAATTGTTCGTGCTCTGCTGTGGAGATCCAGCACTAATTCTAGTTATCATTTAACACTTTCTGTTGTACAAACATGAATAATTCTCTGTCTGTCTGTAGACGAGGTGACGCTGACGGAGCGTGTGCTGATGTTCGGTGGTGTTGGTCTGGCTGCGTTTGTGTTTTTTCTGGCTACAGTCATTGCAGGAGGAATCCTTCACTATCACGGTTGGCAGAAAGGATGGGCCGCAGCCAAACATGCATCTCGGATTCATCACAGATCAGCTAAATAACTTCTACTTAAGCTTTATTCTAACTCAATATATCCCTGAGCTTTGCGTTGCTGTATCATGAATTAAAGCAGAAAACTGTGGCTCAGATGCTTTTCCTGTTGACCAGATTTACTTTCACTTTAAAAAAGCTGAGATGTTGTGGCAAATGTTGCATTTTTTCAATCATTAATGGTTGTGTTTATTATTCAGGTTTGTGTGGTTCATTTGTGGCTGTCACATTTAGTTAAATATAAAAACACTGTTAATAATAATAATAATAATAAGTTTAATTTATATAGTGCCTTTCCCAAGCTCAAGGTATGGAGGACCAAACCTGCAGAAATTAAAAACGAATTAATATATAGATAAATAAATAAATAAAATGACAGGAAAATAAATAAAGTAATAAATGACTTGATAAAAACAAATATAGTTCATTTGTAATCAAATTTAACCCTGAATTAATTTTTGTATTACTTTTTCCTTTATGTATTATATTATTTTATGCATTTATTTTTATATAATTTATTTATGTATGTATTTATTATTTTTTTATTCCCACGTGTATTTATTTCCAGATTTATTTATTCATTTATTTCTTCTTACTTTTCTGTGTGCAAATGAGGGAGGCGGTCCTTGCGGAGCTCCGGTGAATCATTGGTTGAGAGCTCACGCAGAAGGCCAGATCAAACTAATGATAGAGATCGGAGTTTGTGTGATCAACTGCAGAGTTGCCAGATATTTTCACAGATTCACGTTATGTCGAATTATTTTATAGCGACTGAATTCACCTACTTATCCTGACAGTTTCGTCATTAAGTTTAGTTTGATGACGCCTCTAGACACACTTGGTAGAGGTTTCTAAGGCTTGTGTTCATTTTGTAATTACAGAGAAAAGACTCCCAAAAGCATTAAGTTGATCGTAAAACAGTTGCATCAAAGGTTTGAAATCGCGGCCCACTGCCATAAAGTTGGCTTGACGTCTCTAAACTTACATACGACATACGATATTTATTAAAATAAACTGTCAAATTATATCTAAATATTGCTAAATATACCTGATTCGTAGATAACCACTTTACAGTTGGTTTTGTGACTGTAAGTCGTTCTCTTCAAATGCTATTGAAGTTACAATCATGTATACCAATGTCGTATTTAACTTCAGAGATGGTCCCTAAACTTGCGAATATAGACATCAACTGCCAGTGGGCCGCGATTCCAAAAAGCATTGTGAGCCTGAGTAGACCGTAGGTCTAACTAGGTCCTTTGGTGCAACTGGTTTACGATTGCATTTAGGCTCACAATGCTTTTGGGAGTCACGATTTTCTCTGTGTAATTCGACATAATAATGTGAATCTGTGAAAATATCTTGCAACTCTGCAGTTGATCCCACAAACTCCGATCTCGTTTGATCTGACGCTTCTGCGTGAGCTCTCTCAACCAATGATTCACCGGAGCTCCGCAAGGACCGCCTCCCTCATTTCCATGCTGCACACGGAAAAGTAAAAATAAATAAATGAATAAATAAATGAATCTGGAAATAAATACATGTGGGAATAAATAAATATAAAAAATAAATAAACGCATCAATAAATACATTTAAAATAAATAAATACATAAATAAATAAATA